TTATATATATATATATATATATATATATATATATATATATATATATATATATATATATCCGTTGTGACCTCTAGCGCTGAGCGGCTATGAAGGAACAGGGTGTGTAACGGATGGAATAAAGGCCATATGAACCTACCTGTCATTGCTGGATCTCGCTGGACAGTAACAGCACTACTGTTTGCAAGAGCACTGACGGCGGAAGTGCAGGTAGTGACTGTGGTGGAAATGCTTGGTACTGGTGGGGGAAGTCGCATGGGAGAAGGACTACCTACGGTGGGACAGGAAATGCGGGTAGAGTCCGTGGCAAGAACGGTGGAGACCGATGTCCCGGGGGCTCTGAAACAAAGGGATCAGATATCACAGGCGTTTGTCAAATTTGGCATCTGGAAAGTGCTTCAGAATGCAATTAGATAAACTCAGCATAATAAGGGATCTCCGGCTAAAGATGCTGATTGCAAGTAAGTAGATGATTCTATCAAATGGGTAACATGCGTCCCACCGGTGCACAACGAATGAAAAAGTGAAATTGTTCGATAGTGATAATTAATTATTAATTAATTATCATAATATCGTATCATTAATTAAGTTCACTGATCAATACATGTGCTTCGCATATCGGATGACCGTTCACCTCGCAGAGCTGCTTTGAACAACCTTGTAGTAACTGTAGGCGAGCAAGGTTGATAACTGCCACCTCCCAAGATGCGGACCCCCAGACTCAACTCATCAACGGTTACTGACGCAGTCAGTGGAGCTAATCTACCAAAGCTATCGTTCCTAATGCGTACCTGCTCAGTTTCCCGCTCCTTCATATCAATATACTAGGCTAACTAATTGGTTATGCCATCGTCTCTGATGCCTGTCTGTATCTCCCATGTTGTCTCATTTCTGGTGACCGAAATTGTGGCAACTGGAACCGACGTAACCTAGGTACATGGCTTCGGCTTAACAACCGAATTGATAAATAGGTTTCACAATGTAAGTTACGGGACCATTTGTTGTGCATCATAAATACCCGCGTTCCCCGATCGATGGCAGGGTATGGGTATATTGCAGTTTTTCTCCGAGCGCAAACAACGGATAAGCGAAGAGTCGAAGTTTTAGCTAATAACATGTATGGTTTACCGAACCATGCATCAGCTTTTGGGGCCTGGAGTAATACTAAAAACGGTATTGCTGAATCGATGGTGACACGTAAGCGTTTGTCAGCTGGCGTGCGGCTTGAGTGAGCATGTTTTTCCAGCCAGTGGGTACTATCGAACGTAGGTACAGAGACTAGACGCGTGAACAATTGTCCCAATGGAAACTGCTCTCTGTGGAGCACAGTGCCCGTCCCCTGTAAGAACACCGACTCACTACGACTGTGTGGCCGTATAGGGTGATTGTAACTTTTAGGCTATTGGTACCTCTACAACAGGACAGCCTCTCTAATATAGATGATTTCATTTGAAATCTTTGAGGTCTAAGGAGGAGGGAGTGCCCTACATAGACAAGAAACGCCCTGAAGTATGCTTTTGTTAGCTGTTGGCTCATCGACCGGATATATACGTAGAGGAAAAGGAAACGGCGATCGAGTTATTATTCAAAGCTCATACATCCTTCATGCTTCAATCTCACCAGTCAATATAATACAAGGTAGTGGTTTGGCCATACATTGTTAAATCATCGTTTGTCACGAAAAAATGTTTTCCATGTCAAATTCACAGTGGCACAAGTAGGGAGGTGGTCAGCCCGTGATCTGGCAGATGTTTATACAAGCGATTCCGAAAGCCTTGGGAAGATCTGCACTCCATGATGGAGTCCTTGCAGTGCTTTGATAGAGACGCCGCAAGAAGGCTGCTGACTGATACCCACGGGTCTTTCTATTCAGTTTTTTTGAATGCGTGTCCGGAGGTGTATGAATATCGGAGTGTTTGAGGCTTATACTAGATCACTTCTTCTACTCCTCTGGGTTTTCCGCGACTGAGCTCTTGAATATTGTAAGGCAGTGAAACACCGGTTTCCAACACATGCTATGTGGCCAATTGTTTCTTCCGTACATTAGCGGGTCATATCAAGGCAATTTTTACACTTCCAGAAAAAAGGTCACGGTATTATGTGCACATGGGTGGATATTGCGATGAATATCATGACATACACCGCAGAGCACATTTTCGAGCGTGATTTCAACCAGTCATAGCACCGTCCTTGTTTGAACGCCCTCTGGAGTAGCTTCCGGTATCCACTGATCATCATCATCATCGACAGCATGACATCAGTGTTCAACACCGATGCTTCACTGCCGTACATATCCACTGAAAATGAATGACGTCCATTCAAGGCCATCCATCTTCTAGAATAATGATGCATCCCTTATCTCGTGTTTCTGAAACCAGTGACTACTTCAAACGTCTGACTATCCCACAAAGATGCGGGTTTCATTTAAAAATTGACAAAACCCTGACAGGCCAATTGTACTAAAACCAAAAATACCAATGAAAGAAAAGCTTTCAGCTGTAGCACCCTTCCGGTGCCTAGCTGCCATGCCACCCGAAGGAAGCACGAGGGCTGGGATACTCCCAGGTTGCCCAAGCCCATACAGGGGAAGTCGAGAGGCAGTGGTCGGGTTCGAACCGTGGACCTTCCGGTCAGTAAATTCGCGCTCTAACCACTTAGGCCATCTCGCTCACCGCGCTCCCGTCACGCGAGTAACCAACTGACAGTTCGTTGTGAGGAATTTCGTAGTCTTCATCTTGGAGATGAGATCGCTCATTACCGTCTGCTACCATTAGATAGGGTTACGTAATGGTTTATTTTTGAAGTAGTTCATTTGTCTCAAGTGAACGTATTTCCACCCGAAACTTTCGAACTGCCTGGCGCAACAATGTAACCACTAATTATCGAACGCATAAACATAACTATGTGGTACTACTACATTGGTGATGAGGAATTTTTGAGGTTTCCAATCAGGATCTCATCCTGCACGATAAATCTAACCTAAGCTGTAGAATCTAAAGGTGCTGTACACTTATCTCATTCTTGTTAGGAATACTTTGCAGTGCGCATGGCACGAATATTTGGGGGCATTAGGATACACATTTTCTCAATCGGGTAGGAATTTTTGTAGTAGAGCATAAAGCTGCAGGTGGCTTATCAACGACGCAACTGGCTTGAACCCAGACAGGACACGACGCCACTTACCAGGCAGTTCAAGTACGTTATTGTTGATTGGCTCCTCGAGTAATGATTTCTTCGAGGAGGAGTGCTCACATGGCTTGTGGGGTATTTTTATGTCCCCCAAAACCATACATCTGTTCTGTTATTGAAAAGGAATATTACATGGGCTTAGACCGTTGAAAAACAGGCTCCAAACTGAGAGCTACACATCTATGACAGTGTTGAAAGGAGTCAACTGATTGGAAAAAGCCGAAGACTTACGAGGTACGTGACGGTGATTTGTGTTTCAGTTCTTCCGCACTGTTGATTTTATCAGAGGAACTACTCAACAGCGCCGAACGTTTGCGTGTTTTCGCTTCCGCGCCGGCCAAAGCAGCCATTGTGAGGGAGTACACTTCATCGAATCGCACATTGTTGAACAAACGCTCAGCGGTACCTGCACCCATTCCTACCAATTGTTCCAAATCCCGCGAACCATGCCACTGGTGATTCGTTTCTACGCTATGGGTTATCGTTGATGTCGTGAAAGGAAACGGTTGATCTGTTCCTGATGAACCACATGAAGACTGACAATATCCGTTACTTTTGTGTATTGACACAGCAGAGGATAAAGAACCATGCATTCCCGGAGCCATTGAGTCAGACACAGTGGACGGTCGTAAATGCATGGAAGACCGGAAAAAAGCTGTGGAAATTATTGGGTCACCGGCGCCATGTAAGGATGATGGGTCACAGCCACGGATTTGGGGTGAGGAATTGTGTACATCGCCCGCGTCAGAAGGGTTGCGGCGAGATCCTGAGTGCCGTTGTTTGGGGCGTTTGGAGTTGAGACGTTTATCACCGAAGTGAGGCGGATATTTCACGGAGTTCTCCTCGGAACTGAACTCATCAACAACACTTTCTTGACTCTTGATATCAGTTTCGTCGGTCAGGGCAGCAACGCTGAACCGGTGGCAAGGTTTAGTTCTCGAATGAGACGAAGCAGAAGGAGTGGAAGCTGACGAGACAGGCTGGACACTCAGCATGCTACTGTTACAGTCGGGATGCCCATGGAAATCCACACCTGTTTCAAGTAGATAAGAAGACGGATGAAATAGGATAGACACCTGGACGACACACAAGGTAATCACAAATCCGATGACCAAGCCAAATCCGAAATCCACAGCACAAAAATTTTGATTGCAATGCCTCTTGAGACAAGCCAGAGAGTAGTAGGTCTCCACGGTGGTTGTATTAATCCAAGGAGAAACAATCCATTTGGACTATATGACGAGTACAATACCGATATCATCATTTTTAAACAACTGAGGGTCCAACGAACGAGTTCCTACAAATAGAACCATGCATGCGGGTGACCCAAATCCACTGTTTCATCTGAGAGTGATCTGGTGATTAAATCGGAGCAGTCTGTTTACACATTTAATGCTGTGCCCGATTAACCAACCAGCTGGCAGTATTTAATGCTTTTCAATGGAACCACCATCTGCATAGTGAATTCAATCAGGTGATTAATGTGATCAGAAACGAGTGAGTACATGTCGAGAAGACAGTTCTACCAGACTAGACATGATCCATGAAGGAAGCGCAAACTAAAACAGATACAGTGCACGTTCAAGCTTGTTTTAACAAATATGCTACATGCTAACCGAGTTTCAAACAGAGGCGACACATGTTGGTACAATATCAGGCAACAGGGTGCAGCAGTCCGTTCGAATCAACAAGGGACCTTTATACTGAGCAGTCAAACGGTCCAGTGACGGATGTCGCCAAATCGGGACTTTGAAAGGACAGCACTGCATTACATGCAGAAGCAAAAATGCCATGTAGTGAAGAACGAAAAACAGCGAACATACCTTCCACTCTGGACACGTTATGCAAATGCCATGGAGCCGCATGTGAACTCGAGTTCTGCGAGTAGAAAAAGCGGATAGACGACAGTAGACGTTTATATGCCAAAGACTAAAGGAGTGGATTATAATGAACACAGGAAAACATGAAGCTGAAGCTTGATAAAGTCGGGTAAGGTGGGGTTGCAATAACTACCGTTTCATGAGACGTTGGAGGTAGAAAAGCCTATCACTTTGAAGTTATCCAAGTTCCGAATTATGAATCCCATAAACACTTTCTGTCCAATCCTGCATCGCCTTAGGGGAAAGCTATATTCTGGAGATCATTGGTAGAGGAAAAAGCAAGGCTATACTGAGTTCGTCAAAATCTTGACTACTTATGATTGAAAGTAGCCAAGTTCTAATGCGAAGCATCAGTTGCTGAAGGTAATGACGTCATCGAGACACACGCGTCAGTCCCGCAGTGGTTTTGAAAGCTGAGTGACAATACGTATAAATGAGAACGCGAATAACTGTAAAACGGCCGAATAGCATCAAGTAACATTGTATTGTCTCGAGATGTGACATTCGACAGATGAAAACTGCAGAAACATCGAGGCAACCTGACGAGGGGAAGACGACACCGTGATATGTTGGACAGTTAAGGCCTATTTGAATGCAGTAAATTAAATATGATCAACTCGTATTCTTCAATGCTGAATCAGCTACAAGAAATGAGAGGAGTTACGCCATAATTACAGTTCCTTTGCTATATTTACCTCATAAACAAACAACCAGTGGGTTATGTGTAGCGGTAGGCATACCGAAAATATGCATGACTCAGTAAACAGACATTCTGACAATTGATAGCACATTTTGAAAGGTACAAGAATGGTTTTATGGTAATGAGCACGAGGGTTTCTAATGCCGACTGAATACCAGGGTTGGAAATAAAACGAACTGTTGCATGTTAGTCCATGATGAATGGACCAATGACATGCTCAATAAGTGGATGATCTGGTGATCTCTAATCCAAATGGTTGGGTGGTTTATTTAACTCTTTCCACTTTACCACTAAGACACAGCTAATTTGAATTGGGTGGCAAGCAGAGAGTTCATACATGCTGATGAACCAATGTAACCGGTAATGATAATTTTTGATGCCAGGCGAGAGGCTAAAGACAATCGATATACATATGAAGGTTCAACTTGTCAGTGACAAACGTGCGGTTGCAACGGAACAGGAATTCAGAAGTCGATGGTGTAGAGGAAAGACAGAATGTAGCAAAGAAGTAAATAAACAAAGAAAAACGACACTCTAAACGTTTTATCGTAGAACAGAAACAGTCTTTGTGAGATAAATGTTTAAATTATGAAAAAGCGGTTAGTCATTTGGGTGCACAGCGACCAGTCGCTTGACCTACTCCTCAGTAGTGCTTACCTGAGTACTACGACTCGACAACCAACAAGACCTGTACAATCAATTAGCACGTGTGGTCTACAGTAAAATTGTAACCATAGTCTGACTGTTAGCATGCTACTCTGCCGTGGCACGACCAAATCACCAACAAATTGTTGTGTTCACTTGGGCTTTTTGTCCCAATCACACCAGCTTCCGCTGCGAAGTCGTCACATATATGCCTGAAAGTGACACTACCTAGCATTCTGTCTTATAATTATTGTAATTTCTACTCAAAAGGTAAACGGGACATTCGTTCAATCGAACATCTGGTCAACGTTCCATGCTATAAACTTAATCTTCGTCTATCGATCATTACCAGCTGAATGCTAAGATATTCAGCTGGTAATGATCGATAGACGAAGATTAAGTTTATAGCATGGAACGTTGCACACAAGGTTGACAACTACATTGACTTTAGTGATTGTGAAAAAAAATCATCGTCCTCGTCCCCCGGATTAGAAAGGAATGAGTTGTAAGCAGTTACAGCCAACTTTTGAAACTCTCCGCAGAATTCCTATTAACACTATTCTAATCACGCACCGCCTGGAAGGAAAAAGCAAAACAGAGCGAACCTCCTTGGTTTAAGCAGCGTCTATTTTTGATACCGTTGCTCTCAAAGAATGTCTGGAGTTTAGTAACAAGCCCTGTTGGGAGAATTCGCCTGACTGTCGCAACGAAGAAGACGGTTATCATAGGGAAAACAGGTTAGGCTGTTGAAGTCGCTGAGTATATGGTAGAACGTGAAAGAACATTGCTCCAGAATACTCTCTCAGCAGACGGATCATATCATACATGAGAGGTAAACAACGGTCTGGAATCCTCACGAGTCAATTTAGCGAACGACTTCTTCAGGTCACAGAGAACCCAAGCATCAGTCACCACAGTTCTCAGTATCCGGAGCTGTCTTGAGATCAAAGGACATCGTAATACCTAGATTCTTCTCTCGAACGGAGTTCTTCAGTAGGTTGTGCCAATAAGACAGGCGGCAAAGGGTTCTGTGGTTTTGAAGGGCAATACAGCATATTTATCACATTCACTGGGACGCTACGACCCATATAAAAATCTACCCGGACCCTCAATGCTCGAGACTGCTAACCAATGTTTGAAGTTACCGGCGCAAATTAAGCAATCCAACTGAAGGACTCCGTGAAGACCGTTTGAAGAGTTCAGTTCCTACAGAAGAACCCTGTGGTACACCACTGAGAGATTAAGTGTCATTCATCCCCACTTAAATTGCACGACCATTCAGGAAATCAGCAGTCCAAGGGTAAGTGAGCTTCTGAAGCCGATGTAGGAGCTGCTCATGTGAAACCTCGTCAGAGACCTAACGAAATTCGACGAACACATCATCAAGACAAATTCCAACACTTCTTGTGTCGACCAGTTTCTTCAGACATAAGCAAGGTTGAAAGCTGCTGCGCGGAGGAGACTGCTTCAATTTTGTCAACGTGCGGTTACAGAGACCGTTTACTAACTCTTTCTCCGATCTACAACCGGATTAAGCAGGCCGATCGGCAGTTACGGCGACCACCGTTTATGTTAGCATCCCGGTTCCGGTTTTCGTTAGTGGGAGAGCCAAACTATAAGACAGCTTGGCGCCGGAATATGCCCGGCGAGCGTTTTCAAAGAAAAATAAGATAGTTCATCAGTTTCAGGGAATGAGTTTGGATTGGCCTTGATAAGAATCTTGCACAGTGTCATCATCAATATGAGGGATGCGCAATCGAGAAGTCACGAAAAAAGTCTGAATGGATGACATGGCACCTTCCGTCGTGTACACTAAGAATTAATTAGTCATCAAAAACTACACAAGCCTATTTGAGTAATGAATAGTCAACCATGGAACATCCCTTGTGCGCTGGCACTTTTAAACCTTCTGAAGAGCTCGGCATTTGGAACTTCGCATTGCTTCGCACCAAATTCTTTAACTTAAAGACTTTACGAATCACTTGTTTCAGCTGAGAGGCACATGAATTAGGTCTGGGTTCATTTGAATCTTGAACAGGAGCTATAGCACAAAAGTCTTCTTGTTAAATGTTATGATGTCGGAATACATAGTAACCATATCTTCCGTCGGTCGATAAACCTTGGTTGAAGACACTACCCCAGATTGGCAATTTTGCGGAATATAAGTAGCTTGGGTGTGCTGCTTGGTTGTTGGTCTCTTTTCTGAGCTTGGCATTTGGATTGCAAACGTTTCACCATCAATTGAGGTGACACCGTCAGTGCAGTGTCAAGATGAGACGTTATCAACCCAACTGCAAAGCTTGGTGGACAGACCAACAAGCAAACTAGGCTGAAAAGGGATATGCGTGGTGCCAAGAAGTCTTTGGTGTCGAATCCGTCGAAAAGGTTTGATTGAGAGGAGCAGGTAGTGCTGTAATTATCTCATTTCTATCAGTTGATTTGTCCGAAGTCTCCCAGGTGATCAAAAATGGAAGAGATCGAAAGAGGCCACCCAACAGCTGACTCACTGTTCTTCCGCGGCGGACACGTTCGGTGCGACGTAAATTACATAACTTCATATTTAGGTGGCCCAAAACAATGTAGATCAGCCTAAACTCCCCTCCAAAGTATGGGTTGCGAATGATTAGTGGGACAGGTAACCTAGTGAGCAACTAGTTCAGCTCTATGACATTAAAACAGAAGGGAAAAAGAGATTCCTTCTTTCTGCCCTTTTTATTACCAAGAAATTTGTTACTCATTAACGCGTTCGCTGATGAAATTATGCTCATCAATCCATTTGCCACCGATTCCAGCGCAATAACTATATTAGGGTACGACCGCAGGCAGACCATTATTACACTGGACTTGCCAGACCCAAGTCGTGGTTCATCCGAAAACTACAACCTATAGTACAAATTTTACTATTTTACCGTCACATTTTGACAATGCGGAGACCATCCTCCCCGAAAATTGACTTCCACAAGCAAATCCAGCCGTGCTACTTACCTGCGATTCACATTCTTCACACTGCCTGATGAGCTTGACAGCCGAACTCTCCGTGAAAAATATTTGTCCCGTGGTATGTGTGACGCAGAAAACCACGAGGTGGCACGGGTACGGTGGTGATTGACCTACCCGTTATAAACAACACTGAGAAGAACTGTAAGCTCTGCATTCGATGAAAGCTCAGTTGTGTAGCTGAATAGCCCAGGTCCTTAGATGATATCTATATGTAAGAACAAGACGTTACTCCCCCTCAAAGGATCCTTCAGCTCAATCCAAAAGACGTCACAGAACACTACTTGACTAATATGCAGAGGCTGACACACACCAACATAAGGGTTAAAGCACCGACGAAAAATGATGGAATCATGGGACTCTTCGATTACTGTTACTCAGAGGCATATCACTATATTATGAGTGTCTTAGTTCGCGCACCACTGAACTGAAGCGGTAAACATAGAATGGAATGAGCCACCATCGAATGCCACTCTAAGCCTAATGATACAATAATAATCGTTCTACGATAGTTTACTGCAGACATATTATACTTGATCATTCATGAGAACTAACCAATAACTCCACATTCAGGCTCTATCTTCAAACCGAACTGAATGAACAGCCAGCTCGCCGGAGTCCTCCGCGACCCAGACAGTAGGTCAGCTGAGGCTGAAATTTCTACTGTAAGCAATTCACTTCACCCCCAAGCAACTCCGAATAAAACTGACCCAACCATTGTCAGAGTTTGCCTAAAACAGCGAGGATGATATAAGTGCACCAAGTAATTCATCATCTAACAATTACGGT